ATTATATATATATATATATTATTCACGTGTAAATCGATGCAAGACAGTTTGAAATTCGCTGTCCACTTTTACGTCACTTTCACTGCACACGTGATGAATAAATTCAAGATAAAATCAGAAAATGACACGAACTTCACTTGACGGCCGACTGACAAAGATCTGAGTCATAATATGCTTTCTCTTCATTCCAAAGCCACGAGGTGAATCGAACAAAGCGATCCAGTCTAACACGTGATTAACACGACACAGCGACGGATGATTACGTGATTATATCTATCCGACGTAATCGATCTTCAAATGTGTTATCGAACAGTATCGAAATGTGTTATCTTAACATAAAAATGTGCGCTTTGTTGATTAGTTAAAAGTAGAAATCGGAATAGAATTTTAGATTTTATATTTCTGATGAGTCAAGCACACGTTATATTGCAAACTACAATATTATTTGCAATTCATTAACTCGCTACAGTTGTTTGCACAGCGAGAAGCCAATTTCGCAAAGCAATCATAGATGCGTAAAAATAATGATCTTTTTTTTTGCAACCAAAATTAAACGTTTACATTTTTCATTTACATTTATACAACGTGCGCCATCCGAGCCCCTACGTCTCGTCTTGAATTTTAACGTAACGCCTATATCTATTTTAATTAACAATAAGATATAAAAAATTTATTCTGTGAAATGTAAATTTTTTAATCAATCTTTTATTTAATAAATCGCTCCGCATTTTTTCCGAAATATATATTTTTTTTATTACTATATATGCGTGCATTACAAGCATTTGCTTCTCGCTATTTCAAAAATGTAGATAATAAAACGAGCGACATCGTCGATAGTTAGTACTGTACATTTTTCAATAATTAATATTATACATTTATTCATGTAGCACATTGTTTCCGCATATTTGCCCACACCATTATGACTTATTCACGTTCAAATAGTTTAACCCCAATTCACTCCACCAATTAAGTTAATTTGCCCAGTATATGGTACTAATCCATCTACAGTTAAATAAGATCAATAAATTTAATGTGAAAGTATGTACATAAATGTTTTTGAGGACAAAGATGTGATCATTTGTGTCATATCATTTAATTCTTAACGGAATCCTAAAGATGATTAGTCGTAATGTAAGTAGGACTTACACACATACGATTTACGTGTTATTGACACATCACTACGTACTATATTATTATTATATCTCACGCATACATACACATAAATTTTTGTACAACAATAACGTTCTAATTAAACGTTTAAGCCCAATTTTAAGAATTCTATGTCGTTTCTTCTCTCTCGTACAAACTATTAATCTGTACACTAATATTTCGTATAAATTGCACAGTTTTTATATGAAAATGTTGTCACGATGTGATAATGTTGTCACGATGTGATAATGTTGTCACGATGTGATAATGTTGTCACGTGATATGGCTCTCGAACACCATAATGGACTAAGAAATAATAAAAAAGATCCCAATTTCAAATTTTTTTATCGTTCTCAGCATAAACTCCATCTTACAGATACATATTAATGCGTACGCTTTTATCCTAGAAAAATTTCAAATCTATAAAAAAGGAAACAGTAATTATTATACAAAAATTAACTTGGAATTTGCGTTAATTATATATTTTCGATTTATATTTTATATTGATAAGGACCCGAAGGGTTGAAACGTATATTTTAGTTGTTTTGTTACATTCACACGAAAAATAAAGAATGTTTGTGCATCGAAATAGCTGATGTAGGCTCTGATGGGCTTTTTTACAATTTTCACTGATTGTCTATATAATTTGATAAATGTTATTTATAAGCACTTACCATTATCTTATCATTATCAAGTCAAGATGTCTCGAGTTAACAATAAATGTAGATCATCGTAAGAAAACGAGATTAACATCATGTATTGAAATATCGTTATTCGAAATTAATCTCTTAATTGTCTTATTAAACATGTCTTATTAAAAAAGCAAATTTTTATAAAAATTTCTTTCTTTTTCTATGACTTACAGGACCAATTATGTCAGTAAAAATTTTTTATTTTTGAATGGAATAAAATTCCATTTTTTATAATTTTTTAATCTGTCTGGATTGTGATTTCAAAGATCTTAAATTCCACAGCATTTACTACTCGTTAAAACAATATAAAAAAATGAATAAAATAAAAATGTACATTAAAATTAGCGAATCGAATATTTTTAGCAATGTTTCGTAGTGTGCTACTATGAAATTTCACAGAAAATCAGAAAAATTCATAAACAAAATAACAAATATGCATTTGATTTAGAGTGTACCATGTATAACAAATTATATGAATATGTTTAACCCTTTAAAGCCCAAACACTTTGTGAAGGCACTTGTGTTTTAGTCTTTATAACTGATTCTGAATCAACACCAAAAAAATCATTAGAGATACGGATCTATCATAGCTTTTCATGCTGAAAAACCATTCACCAAATCCGTTCACCTTTTTTTCATTATCCTCGGTTTTTGAATTACTTGATATAATACTTAATAAATCGCAAGTTTCCATTTTTACGAAACCTGTTTATTTATTTTGTATTCAAATCAATCATGTATGTACTTCTAATTCAGTCCGTCATCGCGGTTTCTCACTCTACGGTAAATATATAAATTATATACATATGTTTCACACACAAATCTTTAATTTCCCGATACTAATTATAAACACGTATCTGAAAATAATCTCTCGTTAAGACGAATTTTCTATTTTAATGAAGAAGCTGTTCGTCTACTTTATAGGTATTCGTTGGTTATGTATTTCTAATTTAATCCTTATCACGTCCCTTATTTCTCGTTCCGTAGCGAACGTTTAAATTATATATACGCTTCAAATCTCTTATCTCTTTACATTAATTATAAACACGTATCTGAATCTCTCGTTAAATTTTCTTTTTTAACAAAAAGCTGTTTATTTATTTATATTCTAAATTACATACGCTTCAATTATCTTATTTCTCAATGTTAATTAAACACGTATCTCTTATTAATCTCATATCACAAGTTCTTTTTAATAAAAGCTGTTTATCCATCTTATATTTTTTTCGGTCACAAGTTTTCAATTTAAGGGCAGGAGCACAAAGTTGCGTATCGCATAATATACATACTGCATAAAAAAATGAATCGATTAAAATCCTTCACTTCCTTCCTACCCATGAAATAAAAGACTCTGATTTTTTTATCCTTTATGCATTATATATCATACAAAAGTTTTTGCTTCGACCTTAAGGCCGCAGCACAAACTTTTACATAACATATAAGAAAATCAACGAATCAAAGTTCCTCTTTTCCGTGAAATGGAAGGAAAGAAAGGATTCTGATTAGTTGATTCTCTTATACGTTTTATGCAAGATCTTTGCTCTGACCTTAGGATATATCCACACAAAAATTATTCAATCACATTTCTATCATAAGGACATAAAATACGATTGTATAATTTATATATATATATATATTTACCGTTTAATTATACACAAGTTGTATGAATATACTCTTTAATCTTCGCTCCATTTGAAACGGCCCCTTGCGCCGGAATTACAAACTATTTCTCCCTCTCTAAATCTCTTCTCAATGACGTCATGGACGCAAAAAAATAATTCCTGTTAATGATTCCCGTAATTCACGCAGCTACGAGAAAGCGAGGGTAAATAAACATACGTGAAGGTATTCATCAGTCGTCATTGACTGGCGCGCATCGCTACGCATCAATATTCAGTATTCACGTTTTGTCACCGCAGGCAATATTGACAATGCGTGTGGATACACATACACGTATGTAACTCGTGCAGTTACTCCGGACATTGTTACGCGAGATTATGGGCAGAATAACGCGGAGCTCGACCGACCAGGAGAAGCCGCAGCGGAAACGACGGAAGAAGGACCTCGATCGGATACACTCGAAGATCCTGCAGGCCAAACGGAAGTTGGTAGGTCGCGTTTTCAATTCCGTCCTCGATCCTTAAAATTGCGACCTCGTCGCACTGAATCCCAAGGACGACAAAGATACTTAAACCCCGTTATATGGTTACCTAAAGATTACAGGTTACCAAGAAATTCATGAACGTATTTAATTGCTGAATCTCTTAACCTTTAATCTGTAGGTAATCATAAATTAGGTCCGTTTTCTGTAGCTGTAACTAATATACACTTATAAAACTTGGAGTGAAATAAATCTAATTAAATAAGAGAAATACTAAAATGAAATAGATACATGTTTTATATTTGATGAAAACGAGAAAGTTTGCAGCGGCCGGAATAAAAAAAACAGACCTATATTATGTGAAAACGGCAAGTTGCAAATATCTTGATACTCCATATTTATGGTAGATCCGCTGAATGTGATAGTCGTGCGTATTACGTAAGCACGATCGTTTCGCTACAATGTTTTCTGACTTATAACCGATTAGATTTTTTGCATGGAAAAAGCGACGACATCGATTAATGGCAGTCGTTGTCGTTTCAAAAAGCGCCGCGCTGTTTAGGTGGCATGGAGACGCAGTAGCTTCCGTGAGTGTTAGGTTAGTATCAACGTCAGGTGTTTACTGGCACTGTTTACCGGTCCTCGTGAACGATAATCCCTCCGTTTGCGTAGCTCGATCGAGACTATTAACACGCGTTATGCTCTCAGTGAAGTTTAGCTAAGACCGTGATCGAGTAATAATCTCGTAGAATTCTCGTAATCTGTGAAACTGCCTTTCAGAGAGAGAAAATTGTGGCTTAGAGACCAGAGAACTTTTATGTACTTTTAGATAAGTTATACTGCTGAAAGAAATGTAATTTGCACTAATTTTGATGATATTATTCTTGTGATTAATATAATAGCTTCAAATTTATTACAGGATAAGATTGGAAAGGGTGATAACAAAGAACAGAAAAAGCAAGGCCGAGCAAAAATCTGCAATAGACTTTTGCCAGAACCCGTAAGTAATTTTATTTAATATTTATAAACCTATTTTTATTATCTCAATAATATTCCCATTATTTATTAAACATATCTGAACACTACTATTGTTTCAGGCTGCTGGCATATACAGAAATGGTGCAAAGGGTAAAGACATCCAGAAAGGTAATATTCGTATTGAAACTCATTTGTTGTAACAATGAGCACAATGAAATGGTACAATTGTTTTAATCCTTAT